TTGTGGCGTGCGCCTTGATGTTGTCACACAAAGCGGAGGGACCTACAGTTTTACGCCGACTCCGAACGGCGATTGTATTTTTATGAGAAGCTGTTTTTCATGGCAGAAATACACTCGGAGGTTTGCCATTGCCTGCCGAGGGATGACCACTGTTAAGAAAAAACCTTTTTTTCTATATTTTTTGCGATGTTTCTTTGACCAGGGTTTGAACCCAGGCGTTGCGGAGTGGAAGCGCGCACTGCTTACCACTACACCACAGCGGCCGCCCGTCCAAATAACATAAAGTATATAAAAGCAGGGACCAAAAATAACTGTTATCTCGAATTTACAAATTGAACACGTTGCCTGAATTCTGAAATTTAACGAAAACGTTGTTTCATAACAGTTAATAGATGAGAAATATTTTTTTCAGTTGCTGATAAGAGTTATTTCCCAACGTTTATTTTTTATGTTGCTCGATAACGGTTATTGCCCAACGTTTATTTTTTACGTTGCTTGATAACAATTATTGCCCGACGTTTATTTTTACGTTATCTGATAATAGTTATTTCACTCTCTCACTTTTATTTCATCATCTTTATCTTATTCTCCATCTCTATCTTCATCAATATCCTAATCTTACAACGTTTATCAGACGGCGACAGGTAATAAGATCAACGGAAATAAGGTCAATTGACTTTATTTCCCACCCTGGTACGAAATAAAGTCAATTGACATTATTACCTTTTTAAAAACGAAATAAAATCCATTGACATTATTTCCCTTTCAAACATTAAATTTTCTTAGCTTCGCGGCGGCTCCCGTCAGCGCGCCACACCGCGCGCGCCACGTACCCCGCGCGACCGGCGCGCACACCACCTCACGCTACGCCGCGGCCCCCGGCCCCCCGTTCCCGTCTCCCACATTTTTTGTATACGTTGAAATAAATTTTTTATATATTTTAAACATCGAGGGCTTATATTCAATAATAGAAACAATTATAGAAAAAGAATTTTCTTACACTGTATTCATGTCTCCGCCAGCAATTTGTGACGACATCATTTAAAAGCAGCTAAGGAGAATGACGACACTATTTATTAGATGGCACATTCAACGAGCCAATGTGCCAAAATGCGGGAATAAACAATTATTGATTATTTAATATCGGAACCGAGACCATATAAGTTAATTAATTGGTTTTCTCACACTTTTGAAACACAAATTATATGCTCTTTTACTGCAGACAAGTTGTTGCCCCAAAACACAGCAGAAATCTTCCAATCGGGGCTGCCAACTATCCTTAGTTATGAGGTGCCATATTGAGGATAAAAAAGTGCCAAAATGTGCCAAATAGAAAAATAAAAGTGCCAAAAAAAGGTGTCATTCCTTTTAATCATTCACATTTAGCAATAAAATAAAGCTACATTTTCCAAACAAAAGTGCAATGATAAAATAAGATAAACCAGTTGAATAGCCTTTATAAGTTAGAAAATTTTAGTTGAGAAAAAGAAGAGCACGCAAAGGATTTCACAAAAATGTATTGAAATGTAATTTTTTTTTACAAAAGTGCCATTTTGGCACTTTGTGCCAAATTGAAAAATTAAGTGCCATTTGAAGTAAAATAGGGACAAATGGCACGGTTTGAGCCAAGTTGGCATCCCTGCTTCTAATAACTTACAAATATAAAAATGTGAAATATCGAGGGCTTGAATTAATTACTACCCTCTATCTGCAATTTGCACAAAAACTAATTTGTGATTTTAGGAACCATCTGGGACTTATTACCTGTCGTTTATATAAGGTAGCATTAATATCACTGATGACAGTTAAGCCTTAGGTGGATTTTTATATCAGAATCTCATCTTTGTGAAAAGTGTGCAGATAGAGGGTATTATTGAATATAAGCCCTCGATGTTTAAAATATATAAAAAATTTATTTCAACGTATACAAAAAATGTGGGAGACGGGAACGGGGGGCCGGGGGCCGCGGCGTAGCGTGAGGTGGTGTGCGCGCCGGTCGCGCGGGGTACGTGGCGCGCGCGGTGTGGCGCGCTGACGGGAGCCGCCGCGAAGCTAAGAAAATTTAATGTTTGAAAGGGAAATAATGTCAATGGATTTTATTTCGTTTTTAAAAAGGTAATAATGTCAATTGACTTTATTTCGTACCAGGGTGGGAAATAAAGTCAATTGACCTTATTTCCGTTGATCTTATTACCTG